CACAGGCTCAGACTTTAACATTATGCATAAATAAAAATATAGAGCTGACTAGTGAAGGCGGTGCAGACAGAAACACGGAGACGTATATTGGCCAGTCAGTTAAAAGATCAGCCACACTCACGTCGTGACGTCAGTGTCATGCATTTGATCTTTAAACCCTTAACTTTTATTGTGAAAAATCCTTTGATAATCTGGCCTCATGGCAAACATAAACACATTATTCATTATTTCAGTTTTTCTCTTGGCATCTACTAATGTTGTATTCAAGTATAAATAAAAAAAAATGAAATTTATTTATATTTGCTGTAACCSACAAGTCATCTTGTTTAGTTGGAAATTTAGACAAAGTAGATACTATTGGAACACAAAGACAAAGACTATAGTTCTGCTAGCCAATAGAGACGTGATGTTTGGGGCGGCTGTGGCGGAGGGTTTGGTGGAGTCATCCATAACTGGAGGGTTGCTAGCTCTATCCCCCGTTCCAGTCATTTGTAATGTATGTCCTTGGGAAAGACACTTCACCGACCTTGCTTACTGATGGTGGTCAGGGGGTCCGGTGGCGCCGGTGCACGGCAGCCCTGCCTCTGCCAGTGTGCTGCAGGGCAGCTGTGGCTACAAGCAGCATACATGTCAAGTTGTACTGATTGTCTGCGATTTACATGGATTTTCCCACATTTTGCAGGTATACAGACGTATAGAACAATCTCGTGGATTTTTTTCAAGTTTTACGGATTTTTCCAAAAACTCAATTACATATTTATTTTACATCTCAGAGCCTGTTCGTTATAAAAAACAATGAATAACATCAAATAACCATCTTCCAACCCKCTCTGTGGCTAGAAATAAGTTCTCTACTAAACCAGTCCTCATTTCCTTTTGCTTTGCGCTGTAGGMGCTGTCATCCTCACAGCTGACTGTCCGCCTGCAACCCCTCGATTTTTTGCAAATATTGCAGATTTTTGAGGCTCATTCTACAGGTAAATATCAGAAGGGGTTGACATTAATCAGTGTGTGAATGGGTGAATKATTGTAGTGTAAAGTGCTTTGGGGTTCCCATGGGGCTTTATAAAGTGCTATGTAAGTCCAGTCCATTTACCATAATTATCATTTAGGATTGATCCAAATCGTTTGAACTGCTCCTTACAACGAACAATAGGAATGGAGTGGAGAGCCTAAATGGCTCTTTACTGCCCGTGGCACACAGGCAGAGGGGTGGAGTACAGCAGCTCAGGGAAAAAAGCAGAAGGGGGTGTCAGCTTGACAAAACACATGGTCCCACCCACCTGACGTGATGACGTATCGTTCACAATCGAACAGCTCGTTTGAACAACTCCATGGAACAAATGGCTCCTCAGAGTCATTCATGCCATCCCCAATCAATGACAGAGTAAATTGTGTGATAGTAAAGTTGTTATTTTGTCATATCACTATGTGTATTCATGTATCTTTTTACATAGCAGAGATGAGGGGAAAACACAGGTTCAGTACAACTCACAGTTCTGTGCAGTTTTCAGGTTAGGAGAGGATGTTTTAGGGAAAGAGTCCAAAGTGAAGTTGCTAACTTCCTATTCAAATCAGATCAAGTCAAAATACATAGAGTTGTGTTATTCCCCTTTCTGGATAAATGYTATCATATGCAAAGTTACACTTTTTTCACCCTTTGAGTGTGTATGAGAGTAAAATATAAATAATTCAAAAAGGGAAACTAAATGCGTGTTTGAGTCACTGTTGAACACACACAGTCTCACTGTCGTCTCACTGTCGTTGCCTGAGAAATGACCTCACACATATGGATTCTAGGGTGGTCTTTTTCATAGCCCATAAGTCACACTTTTGCACAGCAAACACTGTTCCTCTCTGTCCACGCTGCCAGAGCTGACCTCATATCTACTTWTCTTCACACGACATTTCTGTCTTCAGTGCTTGTGATTTAATGGATTCTTTAAAAAAAAAGTTCCTCTTTCTCTTCAACAGGATTGTTTGTTCAAAAGAATCAATTCTATTTTTGTACGTTAACACCCACATGCAAGAACACAACTAAAATCCCCTCTTACTGTGTCCCCTTTCTTGCACAATCTTTCTCTTTCATAAGACTGAGTCCCCAGCTGTTGCACTCAAACACACATACATTCACACACAATGACATGATCTCCTTCTGCAGACTCCGAGGATCTGATGAAAGTGTCGGGAATGTGCATTGAAAGGCCACTGACACTTCCTCCACTTTCTAGTACTGACGACTTGCCTCCGGCTTCTAATGCCCTGATGGCTGCTCCCTCTAGACATTTAATGGCCATAAACCACACAAGACAAGCAGAATAGATTAGCTTTCATCTGCTCTGGTAGTTGTCGCAGAGGCTCCATCAGTTTGTCACTTCTGATTTATAGCTCATTAGTGTTCCTGCTATCTTTCAGCTGCTCCTTGMATTGCCTCAAATGGCTCAGCTACTGCTTTATCTGGATGTAAGCACAGATTCAGAATCGCTAACAGATTTATGAAATGCTTAAAGTTAAAAAAAAAAACGGTCACCACAGACACCAAATTTAAAAAAAAAGGTAAAAAAGGACAGCAGTTATTTATTTATTTATTTGTTTGTTTATTGTTAAATGCTGCAGCTTGTTGGTCAAACATTGAAAAATATATATGCATAAAAAAATCAAACAGAATATTTAATGCTTATCCAGCCCTAATCTTAACCCGCTTATTCCTTTCAGGGTCAYGCTGAGTCACTAGCGCCCACATCCAGCAGTCACAGTGCGAAGGGCCRGGTACACCCTGGACTGGTCGCAAATTCATCAGTGACGCTTACTGAAAATAAAATAACGTTACGTAAAATAACGTAACGTAATGTAATGTTACATAACACAACGTAACGTAATGTAAAGTAACGTAATGTTACGTAACAAAACGTAACGTAACGTTATGTAACATAACGTAATGTAACGTTACGTAACATAACGTAATGTAACGTTACATAACATAATGTAATGTAACGTTACGTAACGTTACGTAACATAACGTAATGTAATGTAACGTAACGTTACGTAACGTTATGTAAAGTAAAGTTAAATAACATAAAATAATTACACATTAATGTTGATATTTCTTATTTTTCATGCTGCTTTATGTTCAAATATGACTTAAAGATTATTATTGTTTGAATTTATTTTGGGGGGCAGATATATGTTTTTTCTGTCTTTCATTTTGTTTCTGATTTGTATTTTTATGTTGTATGTGGAATGTTTTTTTAATTAGTAAATACATTTTAAAATATGTATATGCATTTTTGATAAATTGCAATAACTTATTTTAAGCTTAATGAAAGTGTCATATTACGCTGTGGCTGTATCTCAATTCATGGGCTGCATCTTCATGAGTGCACATTTGTTGGACACATAGGTCGCTACCCCATGCCGAGTGCTGTCCCAATTCGAAGGCTCTTCCTCATGCGGTCGAGGAATGCAGCCCACAAAATCTTCTAAATCAAGGATGCATCCGAGTATCCTTCCCAGCTTAGGATATCCCAGGATTCATTCTGCCGACAGCAAACTAAACAGAGAAACAAAGATGGCAAAGTTTTTTATTTTACCAAGTTGGTGTAGTTTGTAAATTCATCACGGACCAAATGATTTGTTTTTAAATGTAAGTTTAGCGACTTGGATGAAAAAATTCATGCTTCAATAAGATGTTACATAAAATTAAACTACAAGTACTGATACTGGAGCTAAATCCAAATTCTTAACTTTTTTTTAAAATTTACATGTAATGTTTTAAATGCGAAGTTGTTCTTTTAATCAATATGTGTCCCAATGCATTTTAAGTCTGACATTAAACCGATCACTATGGTAGTGCRTGGTCACGCAAACATACATCTCTTTAATTTTGGATAAGGAATGTTAACCCTCTAGATGTAAATACAAAATAATTGCTGGCATGAGGATTTTTTTCCCACAACTCAAATTGTAGGTAATAATCAGTTATATCCACTCTGTGYGGGGCCATCTGCTGCTTGCAATAATTCAGTTCATTTTATTGCCATCCCATGCAAATGTGGCTGCAGATGTTCCTTATCCACCACCCACGGAAAACTGAAGACATAAACAGAATTTTTAAACTCGTGTATTTGATTTATTAGGATATTCTTTATGCTGCTATTGTGGGGCAGCCATGTTTAAACCACACTTATTTTGAATCAGCAATGTAAGCATTTAAAGAGCTGCCAAAAGTTGGGAAGTCATCTGTAGTGTTGTTTAGCTTGTGCATTTAGTACAGTCAACATTCTGCCTAATTWGTCAAGTGTATCTTTTCATAAAATTTGAAAAGTTAAACCTCGTTTTTATCTTCTGCATATGAAGGACAACATATGGGCATTATTGATGCTAGCAGATCAGTTTTGTGTTTGCTTAGTTTCTAAAAAGAAAAATGCAGTCAGTAAATGCAGTACATCGAAAGAACTATTAGAAATTTGSCCTAAACTTTCTATCACTGTTTCCTTCATTCCTTGTTGTCTCAATTGTCCCCAGTTCCTTCCTTTTCTTCCCTATAGTCTTTGTCTCACTTACACACAAACAAACATACACAAACAAACTCTACGCCAGCCCTCGGGTCCTGTTTCCGGTTTGGGGTGTTTGAGACTGGTCAGCCCCTGAGTTGGACTGGAGCTTGTTACACACATGTTCATGAGAGCACCGTTTGTGTGCATGAGTGAGTTCACTCAAAGCACCATGCTACTTCTCATTATATTGAGATTTCTTGCTTTCCTGTGAAGTATTTCTCAACCACAGACAAATGAAATATCTGATGAAAGCTCTTTGCTCTTATGAAACTATGGCTTACGATTTAATGAGGGCTGTTTTTCAAATGTAAAGTAATCAGACACACAACTATGAAATCTTTTAATATAAAATCAGTGTTGTTTAACTCAGGGAATGTATATCCCTTCACCCACTTCAATGAAATTTCAATAACTTTACAAAAATATCCTTTTTTCCAATTTCAGAAAGCACCATTACCACCATGGATGAGGGTCAGTGTTACTACAATGAGACCATCGCCTTCTTCTACAACCGCAGCGATAAACCCCTTGCTAGTGACTGGAATACCGTCAGCAGTCTCGTGATGGGCCTGGGCATCACTGTGTGCATCTTCATCATGCTCGCCAACCTTCTGGTAATGGTCGCCATCTACGTCAACAGGAGATTTCACTTCCCTATCTACTACCTGATGGCCAACCTGGCAGCTGCTGACTTCTTCGCTGGATTGGCGTACTTCTACTTGATGTTTAACACAGGCCCAAACACCAAGCATCTGACTGTGTCGACGTGGCTGCTGCGGCAGGGCTTGATCGACACGAGCCTGACGGCGTCCGTGGCCAAYCTGCTGGCCATCGCCATCGAGCGCCACATCACGGTCTTCCGGATGCAGCTGCACACGCGCATGAGCAACMGGCGTGTGGTGGTGGTGATCGTCATCATCTGGACCATGTCCATAGTCATGGGGGCGATTCCCAGCTTGGGGTGGAACTGTATCTGTAGCCTCAAATCCTGYTCCAACATGGCTCCCCTTTATAGCAACTCCTACCTGGTCTTCTGGGCGGTGTTTAACCTGGTGACTTTTGTGGTCATGGTCACGCTGTACGCCCACATTTTTGTCTACGTACGGCAGAGGACCATGCGGATGTCGCGGCACAGTTCTGGACAAAGACGCAACAGAGATACAATGATGTCGCTGCTGAAAACTGTGGCCATCGTGTTGGGTAAGAACGATCTGTGAACAATGTTAATTTATCTGTATGTGCCTGTTCGTCAGTCGCATTGATTATTCGATTGACAAAGTTTGAGTCCATGTGTCGCTTGCAAGGGCAGGGTCACTTAATGAGGAATCACCATCTCCATATTACAGCATGTGCTTATCTTAAATGAGACATCCCATCCATAGGATATCAGAGTGGTGTGGAAAAGGGGTTTTAAGGGTTTCAGTACAAATGTAGTCTATCTAAAAGAACATCTGAGTCCTTTTTGCCCACATCATAAACAAAAACTAATTTTTCTTTTGAAAAATGAGTRTTGCACTTCTTGAGTAGTGTTTAATAGACTTGCTGAATCAATTGCAGGATGCACTTTAGCTTTTGTCAATTAATTAGCTTATCGGACATATTTCCAAGACATTTTATGTTTTTTCTTTAAATTGGCAACAACTTTGGATAACAAGCTACATCTATCTGGTTGTTTATTTCTATCMAGTATTGATTTACAACATTTATATTGCTTTCATTGTCTAACAAGACTTTCAATCTCCATTTATCACTGAGTGCAAGAGCTGAAGTCATTCGTTATACAAGAACAATGAACGTGTTGAGCTTCTGTGTTCAGACTAAACAGTGTCTGCCYAGTACAACTGCACAAAAATGTCACATGCAGTGATCTGATTTTTCACTGTCCTTTTGTAAATTCAACTGTAAATCGTCACAGGCTATTCATTGTGACCCCTGCCTGTGAAGGAGGGGTCATATTGTTTTTGTACTGTTTGTTTATTTTATTTTTTAAGTGATTTTTGGTTGATTGTAGCATGGAAACGGCCGCACCGATCATCATGAAATTTGGCAGGAATGTAAATGTGTCTGACTTATTGTTCACCAGCCAATGGTTTTATGATAGGCCCCATATTTGAGGAAGGGGCTCCATCTAAAAAGGGGGTGTCTGGATATATAAAAATGCTTATAACTAAAAACCTATTCAACTTAGGAACTTAAATTTTTTTGTTTAGCTCTGATAAAGGGCTATCCATTGGGCCCACCAATGAGCACCCCACCACCCATCCTGCCCCCACCCAAAACAATAAATCTGTTGAGTGGTGAGTTCTGGTGCATTGGAGCTTTGCGTACATRCAGGGGTCATATATGCTACCGCTATGCAGTATCTAGTTTCATAGGTGTTATAAAGGTGTTGAGAATTTTATTTAACAAATGCTAATTTTATCAACATTTTCCTTTTCAAATCCTTCTGGTATTTTATTTCTTGTTTTGTCCATGGACTGACTAAATACAYGAAATCAGATGATCAGCCCAGTCGCTAGAAAGTAAGTTAGCACAAGAATTGTGGGAAATGYGCTTCTGAGTGCCTGGAAGCAGGATGTGTTGGTCCTAGACAAAACACACCAAGGGATTCCATGTGATTTGTCTCCTATGTTCTGTGTTATCTCACCCGTGTGCAATTGTTGTCTTTACTCCTGTCCTAATCCAAAGCAGTGAACAGCAGAATGCTCTCAGTCTTCCACAGTATGTGTAAAAGCGGACATTGTGCTTTCTCTGTTGCTTGGAGATATTTTGTTTATGTCTCTTTGCTTAACCTAAGAGGAAGGGAGTTTTCGGTACTGGGATTGGCTTATCCTTGTTSCTTCGTGATTGTGGGGTGTATGCTATGATAAATAGAAAAAAAAATACAAACCATGTGACTAGATAAATTTTTGCTGCACTTTGTAAAAAATATTGTTTTCGCCTTGTAGAAAGTCAGTAATGGTAAATAGCTGTTCAAACTTGGTCATTACAGCTTTTTTTCTTTCTAGATTATTAAAAATAAATTACACCACAKACTTTCACCAAATTTCATTGATTAAATGAAAAAGTGTAGGATCATTGTGCAAATGTTGCTGCCTCAGTCAGTTTACGAAAACAAAAAAGCTAAAATAAATTGAAATTGAATAAGAATCCTGCAACAATTGCTGCGACCACGACAAAATGCAATAATAAAATCTTTAAAATGCAGATTGATCTCAATACTGGGTAAATAAAAAGGATCTGGCACTAAACAAACAAACAAAAAAAAACAATAAGTGAATTCCTATTCTGACAGTAGAGAATAACAGCTTAGCAGAGTGGATTTATTGACTGCTTTTCTGTAAGTTGTGGAGAGTCAGGTTCATTAACAAACTGAAAGATGCCTTTTACTCTAAATAAACTGATGTAAAGTTAAGCCAAAATCATTTTGAGGCTGTAATGTTTTTTTTAGAAACAATTTATTGCTGGTGTGAAGTTTTAATTGTGGACTAAAAACAATTCCTTTTAAAATTTTCYTGGAAAATCTTATTTGTTTCTTTTGGCTAATAGTTTGTTCAGTCTTTTGAATAAGGGTGTGATGTGTTTTGGTTCAGTCTGGAATTCTTTGTTTTTGAATGAAGTCATTTGAATTACTAAAGAGGATACTGAATACTACGACCCTCCCTTTCTACCACGCTCCCTTTTCAAATCAATCCAAACAAGAAATAAGTATCAACTCTCATATATTTTGTTTTCATATTTTTCATTTTTTCTTTAACAATTTTATAAGTTGTCTAAACTCTAACACAACATTTTCATCCTGGCTTTACTTGTGTGCCTCTCAGGGAAGTTATTAACTGATTCCCTCTTTAGATTCTTCCATCATGTGGCCAGATGATAATAATTGCTCCCCTGCTGACTAGTGTCCTTTCTTCCTTCATTATTACAGGGTAAAAAAAAGTTGCTTACTCAAACGTTCACAAGCATGGGCAAAAAAAAGAGTGAGTAAAATACATAGTCTCCCACAGTCACATAACCCTCCAAGCCTAATAAAAAACAGCAGAACACAAGATGGACTTTGTTCACGTAAAGCTGATGGAAAAAAAAAGACAAAACCACACTTGAGATTTTCTTGTTTTATTTATATAAAAAGATCTGGAGATAGCACCGAGGCACTCACATTCATTGTTTTTTTTTTTTCTCTTGTTTTTCATGCAGTCTGTTGAGTTTTGACCTAATCAGTCCAGTATTTCTTAGGTTTAACCTGATCGCAAATAATCACCTCACATATGAACAGAATATGWTAAAGTTTCACATGTTTCGTGAAGATTACTTCTTGTTGTACGTATTATTCGTTGTAATGGCCACATTGTGTTTTGTTTTAAGAAAAAGAGAATTTCACTCCACAGACTAATTACAACCTCATCAAAGGCAAACAAAGGATAAAATCAAGGAAGATCTTAGTTTTTGGCCACTTGGCCTGTGCAAGGGATAAAAAGAAAAAAAGAAAATGTGTTTGACAGACATTCTCTTGAATGTTTCTGTTTTAAACGAGAAAACAGTCTGGTTAGTTAACCATGGCCTTTTCATTTTGTGTTGTAGTCTGGTGTCAGGTTTTGGCTCAGTTGCAAGTTTTCTGTGAATGATCTGATTAACTTAAAGCCTATGGGGATGTATGAAGTCACATTGTCAGACATTGTGGAGTGCCAAGCCATACCATCCCCAAACACATGCTACCAGATGGCATATCACTTGCTTGCATGTGTTACAAAGTCTCTGTGTTTAACTAACATGTATTTACCCTGAAAAAAAAAATTAGAAACTTCTGAGTGTTGATTTCAAAGGGAGGATAAAAATAATGGTTACAAAATCTGAAATGTGCCTCTCTGCATCACACAGTGACTGTRTGCAATTTGCGTTTGTTTTGTTTTTGGCAAATTGAGACCAGAACCAATCAGAGCCATCCATACGCCAAACACTGCAATCCACTGTTAGCATTTTTCACATGGCTAGTGCGTTGATCACAACGTCACCTGTTTTCTGTGTCATTCAGTGTTTGTGTGTCTGTGTTTGTGTGTCTGCCAAGATGATTGCACAGTGCAGCTTTTCAAATCTCCCACAATGACAACATTTGTCCATGTGGATCCTGTTTCAGCCGCATCATTTGTTCCTTCAGGCAAATGGCTTATTTTATATCTAAACGTACTGAATATTTTCGGAACGAGCAGAAACTGTAAATGGCCGTCACAAGAAATGTGTTGCTTTACACCCTGATCAATCCAAAAAAAAAAAAAAAAAAAACAACAACTAAAGAATAATTACAGCAGTTACGAAAAGCATAATTTTTGTATGTCTTTGTCCTGACAAAAATCAGAGCTGTTATTTCCTGAATGAGCTCCTTAACGTCTGAAATGTCTGAATGTATGCAGAAGTAGTTACAGATGATAATTGAACACATAGCATGAGAGAGAAACAAGAAGAGAGTAAAGACTGACTCTGTATTTACACAATATACCCCTGACTGATTTAGTATATGCTGTAGCTGTGTCCAACTTCAGGGGCTGCATCCTCCGAAGRCCAAATTTGTCGACCACTTACGTCACAGCACCGCACTGGAGGCTGTCCAAATTTGAAGACTCCTCTGATGCGGTCGACAAATGCGTCCTCCTCTTTCCCCGATTTGAGGGACAGGTCCGATGGATTCTTGTCAGCCCAACATATCCCATAATGCATTGCTGGCTGACTGGAGATATTGTTTTTTTCTGCTCGTAATGGTGAATGAAGCGAGAGAAAGGAGTACAGTTTTAAGTAAAATCTGGCGTATAAAATTTTGAAGTTTCAAGCGATTGTGTTGTTAAAGGGATCCATGATTAGTTGTAACATTAGACTTTATTTAATAAACATATATTTTAACTGTAAAATAAAGACTGTAAAAATACTGTAGGATGTTTAGTTTTTATCATTTTTAAACCAAAATTTAAAAATATATTACACGGACAGGGCCATTTTATTTAC